CAGAAAATAAATCTTTTCGCTCGGTCAACGTACAAGATATAAACGCAGCTTACTCGTTATGCACCATCTAGAAATGATACATCAATGACTAAATTATATAGATACAATTTTGTTTCACCACTCGAATCTGTTGCGAAAATATCGAAATAATATTTCTAGAGACACGAGTGGAATATAATAGAGAATTTGTTCCGTTTGTTTCAAAATATCGCTCATTTGGAAACTGTTGTACATAAGAAAGAACATCTCCCAACAAATAATTCAAATTCGTATGACACAAGAGATTCACCATCATTTATTTTCAGAAACATCATTGTCTTCTGAGACTCCACCAGTAGAAACTTCAATCTTCACAGAGTTAATTGCACTGTCCACATTGTCAGTATTATTTATACTTTACAGCGCTCGACAACCTTGCGAGTAATCGAACCTCAAAGTGGCGCGGATAAAAGGAGGTTTACTCCCGTTGTCTACTTCATTTACGCAACATCTCACTTCCTGGCCAATCTCTACCAAGTCTCCTGTCCATTCCTCCGTGTCGTCTGGTTTCGGAATAGACACTGTATATATTTTGTGCACCAGTACCACGATATGGTCCAGGCTCTTCTTTATCACTACGCCTGCAACGTAACAGAAATTATTACAATCAGTTTGTAGGACATGTAACACAACAAAAATATACCTTTCAGGAAAGTTCCGTTTGTTGGACAAAACAGATAAAAATCTGCTTCAACGTCAATATGAATGTACGGAGAGTCGTAGAGCGTCTCTCCCAGATTGTTAAGCAATTTAAGATTCCTAAATGCTAGCATAAACCCTTTCAACCTAAAATAAAGAATTGTTTTGTTGAATTCTATTACATGTTTCTTACAATACTGTATATCTAACTCAGTAAAGACGGAGCCTCGGTTACATTGCATTTATGTTACAATTTCTCACTCAACAATGTAAATGTAACACAACGTATGTATTATTTACATTGATGAATGAGAAACTATGACATAAATGCAATGCAACTGATGCTCGGTGTTTACTGTATAAATTATTGGGTCTGTTTTTTATTGCTGCACTCCTGAACTAGTGCACACTGGTGCAATGAGTTGGAATGAGAGGTAATCTATTTGTTTCATTTTAACTTATTGCACTAGTTCAGTAGTGCAGTAATAAAGAACTGGCCTAATCATTGAACTAATCTAATGCATTGCGCACCTTATCATGTAGTTTGTTAATTCGCGGCACTACTTAAGCACAGGTAACAAATTATAACAATAAGACAGCAATGACGGGACATTTATATTTTAATAATAATTGTTTAATCTCTATTTCACTTTTTTTATAAGCATTTAACGAAACTGAAGTAATCGAGGATCGGAGACAGATATTTGTACGACTACGTGCAAAAAAAATATATAGAAGACAGCGTACTCTTTGTCGTAAGTATTCAACGACGATCTTAATATCTCATTCAGACCGCCCTGAACGTTATTCAAGTAGTACGGATGTAGCGAGAGGTGCTTGGTGGTCCTCGCGAAGTGCACGTGAGACTCCTCGTCCTCGAGGAGACCGGCGAGCTCCAGGTTGGCCCACGTCACCTTGCGGTTCTTCATTCCACTCGCGGAGGCAGTTTCGTTAAGCGTTACTTGAAAAGACGCGGAGAAACATTCCTGCGAAATAACCGCGGCACGTTAATGTTTTTTGAACTACAGAATCGCAGCGCCTCTCGTGGCCAACAGACGAACGATTTTTGGCTTAAAAATTCGACATACCCCCACCACCAAAATTTGGCTGAGTTGAAAGACCTGTATGTAAAGGCCAATGTCCACGATGCTAGAACTTG